ATCTATGTTGTGCAGTCTATGTTGTGCAATGTGCGAGGTGCAATTTAGGTGGTGCAGCCAATGTGGTGCAATTTGTGTTGTGCATGTCTACGTGGTGCAACCTATGTGGTGCAAAATCACCCTGCCGAACTTGAAATTGTCGATTCCACTGCTCGCGCAATCATCCCACCCACCCACCCGCAACTTGGTTGGCAAAACCCATGCGGAGGCAATTGCCATGAGTGCTTGGTGTTGGCTGGTGCATCTCTGCGGCCGCGATAGCCCGCGCTGGCTCGCGCTCGCAGCGACCAGCTAGTTTGGCGCGGCCGACGCGAACGCGGTATCATGGCAACGTCGACAGCGGTAGACACGATGTTGATAGTAGCGATGCTGGTGGCGATGCTGACAACGACGACGGCAGAGCCGGTGACGGCGCCGATGCTGATCACGCCGACGACGATGACGGCGTCCTTGCGTTGGTGATAAAGGATTTGGGAAGAATTCGCCCTGCGCGCGCGGCCGACGTGCGAGTGGCCCGCACTGTATCTTGTTGACACGGATCGCGCCCACCCCGTCCCAGCACGCGCACACGGGCGTTCGAATGACTGCGGCATGCGGCGCGAGAGGCCCGTTTGGCAGAATTCCATGATACGACTGCGCAAAAGAGCGCAAGCTGTTAAAAAAACCGTGTTGCGACCCCATGTGTTTAAATACTTGCTTTGGCACTCGATTTGGAAATCCTTGCGAAACCTGTTTTTTTGTTGCGGATTCCGGCGCACGCGCGCGACGACGCGCGCGTGCGCACTTCGTCACACTGTTTGAAAAAAGGCTTCCTGCGACAGCACGCGTGCAAGGGCGTTCGAACGATTTCGGCATGCGCGCGCGCGAAGCCCCGTTTGACAAAATTCACTGAACATGTTGAAAAACGCATTGTTCCCTTACGGGCTCACAAGAGCGCCAGCGCAGGCTTTTTCGAAAATCCTTGTTGCGAAACCATGTGTTAATTTGTGTTTTGGCACACGATTTTGAAATCCGTGTGAAACCTAAGGTTTCGCGCGCGACGACGCGCGCGTGTGCACGTCGTCCAATGTGTTGCAAGGGATTGGTGCAAAATGCTGATTGTTGCTAAACGACTGCGCTCCCAGTATTTTTAGCAGAAAGTGACGGAAGGTGTCGATACCAGCTCACCTGGGATGGTGCGAGCTCGTATTTCGGATGGAGGATACAGTCGGGCCGCTGAAAAGGAACGCCAAATTAGGAACGAAACCCTTTCTTTGACCCAAACCCACCTTCGTGGACGAGGAACGCTGGATAACTGGCCATGGAAGGACCTACTAAATTTAAGGAACGCCGGGCCCCTTCCCAACCCGAGCGGTTCCTTATTTCAGCGTCTTGGCTGTAGGGGGCGGATGATCTCGGGGGGGGTCGAGTACATTTTCTAGACAGGAAAATCGACGGGGCGGCGTCGGGGCGGCGACGGCGAGACCATAGCCGCACGACCGGCGCGCAGGCCCAGACGAAGTGCGGCGACGAGGCGGCGGCGGCGAGAACACAGACGCCAGACCGACGCGCTGGCCCAGTTCCTCAGAGCACACATGAGAACCTCCAGGTGCAAGCGCTGTTTGGGGAGGGAACCCAAACATCCCGCCGCTCAGAATTTTTCGATGCGTGGGCCCCTGAGGTCCCGACCACTTCCCTAGGGCCGGTTCGCGTCCTGGGTCGTCTTCTGACGCTCCCGAAGCCTGGCGAGGGCCCCCACAAAGGCCGAAAACGCCCCAAATTCCGCCGCCCCCACTCTTTTGGAACGTCGGATTTCTGGGGAATTCTGGTTTGAGACACATGCGGCAGGGCCGGTGTCTCGCATCGGGCACTCTTCTCGAGCAGGGACCGACCGTCCCGGCATTCCTTTAGGCTTGCCACGAGATGTTGTTGGAACCCTCAAATGTTCTAAAAAACGAAGACGATGTTCTTAGAACGTAGACCCGTGACGAAACGAGACAGTCCCAGCCAGAACTGTTCGAAGAACCTGTCGTGGAAACCACAATCGGTTCTTGGAACATTGTTTGGTCACGTCGTTCATGTCTAATCGTGCTCATTTCTCCTTGTGCTCGTTTCTAATTGCTCCTGGCCCCCTAGTGACCAGGAGGAGGCCCGGGATAAAACGATTAGAAATGCAAGGATGTTGCCCCTCAAAAAAATCAAACAACCTTCGAAGAACTAGACATGAACAGCGCGCAGGCCTGATTATACGCACGCCTGGACGCGACCCGAGTCCCAAAACCGTGCGGTGACCCTACGCCCTGAGGCGCGTCGGCGCGGCATGCGCTCAGGCGAGTTCGAGCAAATTGTCGATCTCGAACAGCGTGTGGGTGTAGTTGCTTGGCCCATTCCAACCGGGGGACCCAGACGAGAGGGTGAGCACCCCGCCCAGAGGGAAAGCACTCGTCAAGGGGCCCAAGCGGCCCAAGGACACACAAACAAACAGACACACACACAAAGAACAGGATCACCCATCTTGTTCATCTTTTCTGGGCTTTTGTCTTCCCTCCACTTCCCAATTATTTTCCCCTATGTTCGGGGGCATCGACGATGAATTGTGTCTGTGTGTGTTTTTCCCCTCCTGAATGCGGTCGGGAGTGTCCTCGTATAGGCGGATTTCGGAAGCAAAATAAGCACTCGTCAAAAATGAACAACAACAGTCAGAAGGGCACGACGAATCGTCACCGGACCAAGTCAAGAGGGTGAGCATCTCGCCCGGAGGGAAAGCATTCGTCAAGGGTCCCAAGGGCAAACCAACAAATAGACACACACGCACACAGAGAACAGGATCCCCCATCTTGTCCCATCTTTTCTGGGCTTTTGTCTTCCCCCCACTTCCCAATTAGTTTCCCCCAGTTTGGGGTAATCGACGAAGAATTATGTCTGTGTTTCTCCCCTCCTGAATTAGGTCGGGAATCTCCTCGCACAAGCGGATTTCGGAAGAAAAATAAGCACTCGTCAACATGAGCGAAAACAGTCAAAAGAGCACGACAAACCGCCACCGGACTATTTTTTAAAGTACTCGTGAATTTTCCTCCTGCAGAGGGACAGGCCCGTCTTAAGTCGACCCCCGAGGTCTCGACCCTCGACTCCTTCCCTGGAACCGGTCTTGCATCCTATAAGGCGTGTTTTGACGGCCCAGGGGGCCGGTAAAGGCCCCCAGAGGCCGGAGACAGCGAACAAACATCCTTGTAGGCATGTTTTGTGGTTTTCCTCTTTATTTTTCTTAATCCTGGGGTCATATCTTTGGCCGAAGGACGGGGGCAACGATAGGGGGGACTGGCATAGGGGGGGATGCATCGACCTGGAATCGGCGATACGTCGCCCATGGATCGGCGACAGGCCCCCGATAGTGAATCCGAACCTTCCTGGACAGGTTGGGGCTATCGGGCCCCTGTCGGCGATCAATGGGCGAGTGGGGGTCGATGCATCCCTCCCTATGCCTATCCACCCCTATCGTTGCCCCTGAGAAGCGTGGGGGATGGGGGGGGGGCGTCTGGGTCTGGACCCGGTGCTCAGTTGATCTGCTTTTTTACCAGTCGCGTAAAGGGGTCCTGGCCACTCGCCACAAGCAGCCAAGATCGGGTCTGGGATGGGCGGGTTGGGGCAGGGGGGCCTGAGCCGATCGGCGAGGCAAGGAATAAACAAGCATCTGCCTTTTCTGCTTGCGATGCCCACCATGTTCGAGTCGTAAGCGCCGCCGGAAGGGCAGCAAAAACCTCTATCACCCCGTAAAGCCCCTCCCCCTCTCGCCCCCACTGGGGGACCAGAACACAAAACAGCCCCCACCGGGGGAGCAGAACACAAAACATACCCATACTGCCCCTGCGCGGACCTCCCCCAGGGCGCGTCCTCTGACCACAGTGGCGACGGGCCCGCGCCGATCGGCGACACGTTTGACGCCGCAGCGCGGCAGAAGCAGCCCGCACGTGCTCGGGCAAACCGTGTGACGGCACTGCGACTTGCCGGCAGCAGCAAGGAAAAACACATCAGGAAAGGAACCACAAGGAACAATCGGCTACACGCAAGAGTGACCCTGGGTAAGAGTGACCTTGGGTGCGGGTTTTTTGGGGGGCCGCGGGGTGACCAAACCTGGGCGGGCAAGCCGCTGCTACTGCTTCGTTTTCAGCCATCTGAGGGCCCATCTGCGCCCGCACCAAAGGTCACTCCGGCGAAAGGTCACTCTTACGTCTGGTCGGAACAAGTAACAAAAGAACAAAAGAAACAAGGAAGCTCGTGGGAGAAACTGCGCGAGCCACGGAATAGAACAAACGGCGCCGTGACTCTGGCATGCCTCGAGGGAGCCTGCCCTGACTCCAGATCCGCCCTACTTTGGCTTTTTTTCCAACTTAAAATTGTGTCGGAAATCCACCTATGAGAGGCCGAAAAAGTAGGGCGGAAATTTCTGCACCCAGCATAAAGTAGGGCGGAAATCCACAGAAACAGGGTGGAAACAGCAGCAGAAAAGTAGGGCGGAAATTGGCATCAGCGGGGCTTAAAAAGTAAGGCGGAAATTCCAAGCCCTACTTACGAATTTCCCCAAAGTAGGGCGGATCCGGATGTCAGGGAGTGCTCTCCCCTGGGCAGTTCGCCCCCATCGTCGCCCCCGAGTTCTGTCCGTGTCCCTTGGCGTCGCTCGGACGTGTGCATGTTTCCTTCGTCGAGGGCCATCGAGGAGCATCCTTGATCACTTGGCGAGAAAACCACGCACGAAGCCGAACAAAAACACAGGGAATGGATGTCCGAGCGATGGCAGGTGTCGGCTGCTGCTGATGGGCTCTCTGGGGAGGGACGCCCAGAGGCCGGGGCGCAGCAGCGAGGGGTAAAGCTCGAGCCTCTGGCGGGCAGATGTTTGTCTATATCCACTGCGCCTTTGAGTTTTCTGGGGAGGGAACCCCAAACTCCAAGACGCATACAATCAAGTCAAGATCCGGAGTCAGGGCTGGGCCTCTGGGCCGGAGAACTCGGGGGCGCCGGCGCGCCTGCGGCCGGGGGCATGCCGGGCATGCCGGGCATCCCGGCCATCATGCTGGGGATGGGCGGCAGGCCTGGCGCGGGGCCGCGCGCGGCGCGGGAGGTCGACCGCGCCACCACCCCGCGGGCGCCGTCCTCGCCGTCGGAGGGCGGCGAGAAGTCCGTGCTCGGCGCCGAGCGAAGGGGGCAAGAACGAGGCGAAGCAGGGGCTCCTCCGAGGGCGGCGGGGCTTCACGGGCGCCCTCGCGCCTCCGGAGAGGTTTCGGGCGCCTTCGGGGAGGAAGGCCGTGGGCAACTCCGCGGAAGGCCGGGGGGCTTCCGGAACTTCCGGGCCTCCCGAGGAGGCCCGGGGCCCCTTCCCACTGCCCCCCCAGGACTCGCCGCCGATATTCCTCTTCCTATATCTTTATAAGCCCGGGCGGGGGGAAAACCCATCCCCCACCCCACCCCCCAAAACCGGACTCCCGGGATCTGGGGCTTTGGGACCCTCCGGACGGGCCTCGAAGCGGCCCCTGGGCCTCGCAGGGCGTTTTGCCAAGCCTTCGCAGCACACCCAGGGCGATCAGGGGGGTCACCAGAGACGTCCCAAAGACCCCCAAGACAGCACAAGAGCGCTCCAAGAAGCCGTCATACCCCGAAAGATAGCTCCAAAACGTACGAAGAGGCCTCCAAGAGCACCCCCAAGAAGGCCCCAAGAGGGGAAAAGCATTGATTCTATATAAGTTTTTGGTGCATTTGGGGTTCTCCTCTTTTCGGCTTCCAGACGCTCCAAGACGGCGGTCTCCTAGGCGTCCGAAGCCGCCTGGGAGGCTCCCAAATCGCCCCACAACCATCCGAAAGGGCTTCCAAGAGAGCCCCAAAACGGCACAACAGGAGTCCAAAATGGCCCTAAGAGAGCACCATGGCGGCCCAAGATGGCCCCAAGACACCCTCCGAAGCATTCCAAATCGTGACTGGGGCGTTCAGGGAGACCACGATTAGAGGCAGGTTGGCCTTAGGAAGCCCCAGAGGCCCCCAGAACACACCCAGGAGGCCTCCAAAAGCCTGAGAACTTTGGCGAGGCCCACAGAGGCTCTCCAAGGAGGAGCCTCCGCAAAAAGAGCTAAGGAGGATGGGGAGAATGCCCAGGGTATGGCGAGGATGAGGAAAAATAAGCATGGAGGAAGGATAATGAACAACATTATTATAACAGCGATGCCAGAAAAGGCAGCAAGGAGTTATTACTAAATTGTCAGCTTGACCTCCCTGCCATTTCCGCCTGCATACCAAACTTCAAGGACCACGGTGCATGGCGCGAAGCGCCACTGCAGTCTTGTATATATATATATATATACATATTTATATATATATATATATAAATATAAATATAAGGCTGACCCCCATTAGCAGGCGAAGGACCTGGCGCACCCCGCTTCCATCAGCTAAGCGGTTTTGGTTGTCTCTGCACTAGGGCGGCGAATTCTACGCATATCCACTTGTCCCTGGCCTGGCCAGGGAGCACTGGATATGACTAGATTCGTCGCTCGACGTTGGCCTCGCCGTCGGCTTCGCCGTCGCCGTCGTCGGTGTTTGTCATCGTCCTCGCCGTCACCGTCACCTGCGCCGCCGTCGTCGTCGTTTTCGTCGTCGTCGTCGCGGTCGTCGTCGTGGTGGACGTCGTCGCCGGCGCCGTTGCCGTCGTCCTCACCGTCGCCCGGTGTGATCGCCCACGCTGCTTGGCGAAGGGGTTCCCGTACCCCCAGTGGGACAGCAACGCCTCTGCAGAGGAATCGATGCCATCGCAGAATGCGTGAATGCGATGGCTCCAAGACGACATTTGCACCGACACCGGCCTCCACGACGACAATCAGCGGCTGGGCGGCGACAGCGATCGGGCGGCCTAGGGAGGAGGAGGAAGAGGAGGAGGAGGAGGAAAAGGAGGAGGAGGAGAAGGAGGAGGAGGAGGAGAAGGAGGAGGAGGAGGAAGAGGAGGAGGAGGAGGAGGAGGAGGAGGAGGAGGAGGAGGAGGAGGAGGACGAGGAGGAGGAGGAGGAGGAGGAGGAGGAGGAGGAGGATCTCTTGGAGCCTCTTGGCTCAGTAGGGTTGCTGGGCGGGGGGGGGCGTAGACACCGATGCTGGGCCCACACGAGGGGCCCAGCCAAAGCCGGTGTCGGCGTATAGTCGCCCTCTTCCGATGTCTTACTTCGGCGGTGGACAAACCTCCCTTTAGTAAACCTCCCCTTGGTGAAAACGGCCTGGGACCGAAACCGACGGACCTGGACCCGCAAAAATGACGGCCGCGACGCCCTCTCGCGAACCGAAAACGGCCAATTCCTTAATCGACTTGTCAGGGTAGGAGGTCTGTCCACCTCCGAAAGCATGGGACACGACATACAGTAGAACCTCCGGAAGTGATCTCCTGGATTTTTTCTTCGCAGCGCAGAGGTGGGGTGGCAATGGCTAGAACCGAAACTTCAATTAAGAGATCAGGTCCGTCGAGTCTCGAGTTCAGACCGTATGCGACGGACTACACGCCATTCAGTGCCACCCGACATTCGAGAGAAGTGCGTTGACACTGCAAGTTGCAACACGAAGTAGGAAGAAGTTGAACATATAGCGGGTGTCCGTCCGCCCCTTGAAAAGAAAAGGGGGACGAGGAACAACTGTTCGATTCTTGAAGTACGAAGGCAACTAGAAGAAATTGGGATCTGGGGATCCAAAATACATACTCTCAATGTCCGGTGAGTAACTTGTACGACCAAGCCGCTGCCAAACAGCATCGAACACACAATAACCATGGTTGCTGTTGGCACACCGTGTGGTGAGGCTGGGTGGCCCAAACCAAGGCGAGTCACCACCTAAAAACTGTTGGACAAATCATGAGGAAAGCTTTCCTCCGTTTCCGACCTCTGCGGGCCCTCGCCGAGCCCCAAGACTGCGAAACAACAACAGAAAGACAAGCCGGCCCCCGGGAAAGGCAACAGAAAGACAAGCCGGCCCCCGGGAAAGGGTCGCGATTTCTGGGGACTTTGCACAGGAACTTGAAACTATCCTGGCGTGGCGAAGGGCCAGTTCATGTACAGCTGCGAGTACAGCAAGGCAAAGTATACGAAAGATGTGAGCGAATCGTGTAAAGGGTGCGCAACATCCCAATATGGCGGCGTGCGGCGTGCGTGTCATGCAGTGTGAAGTCTTGATGGCGGTGCTGATGACTGGTGGTGGCGGTGCTGGTGGTGATGGCGTTGGCTGCGGTGATGAACGAGGATAGCGAAACATTTGAATCGCACACTCTTGCTCGCTAAGAATGCACGCGGTGACAAACCACGACGCACTGCGCGCACCCATGGTCGTCGCCGCCTGGCCGCGTACGGGGGAATCGAATTATAATTGCGGGCCCTCCTCGAACAGCTGGGCACCTATCGAATTGAATCCGCGAACCATCCCACAATGCTCACGTGGAAGCCTCGCCAGCAACTCCAATGGATTGTTCGCCAGATTTTCCGGTGAAGCGCTGGCCGGATTCGGATTTTCTCGTGACACTTCCGTTTGAGTTCCTCGCGGCACGCCCGCCGGACCTTCTGGTGAAGCTCTGGCGAAGCTTGTTTTACAACTGGAACCGTGACCGGCAAAAGTCCACGAGAAACTTCTGGGCATCGTCTAACCGACACCTATCCCCATGAACGTGGCCTGGGCCCCCAGTGGCCGATTGACCCCTTATAGACGGGGATATGGGCCAATCCCTTCGGGTTTCGAGATGTGTGGCCACAACTGGGGCGCAAGGACGCTGGGGGTCTGGGTGGGGATGGGGACGGGGACGGGGATGGGTCAAGCGATACCGCACTTCACTGAAAACCCCACTGTCTGCTCCCCTCCCCTCCCCTCCCCGCCCGAGTCGTGGACCCTCGTCGCCCTCCTCGCCGCCCCCCGGGCGCTCCGCGCACCCCTCCGGTGGTGACGGGCCCGCGGGCTCGGCAGGCGGGCGGGGCTTGGGGGGGCCGGAGGCCCCACGACAGCCGACGAGGCCCGAGCGGGGCCCGCGTATGACTACCTACCAGACCACCCCAACCCAACCCGAAGACCCCAATTTCGGGTTGGGGGGGGGGTACGGGTTCCATATGTGTGTTTTCAATGTTCCCCGACCCCCTCTGACTGGAAATGGAGGGCAAATTGAGGCCTTCGGGTTGGGTTGGGGTGGTTTGGTGGGTGGTGTAGGGCCCGCCGGATCCCGGCGGAGCCCGACGGGGCTCGACGTGGCCCGACGAGGCCCGACGAGGCCCGACGACTGCCCCGCGGGGGCGGCGAGGAGGCCGCCCGAGGGAGGCCGCGGGAGCCCAGCGGAGCCCAGCGAGAGGGCCAGCGGGGCAGGGCAGCCCCGAAAGACCCCGGGCAGGGCTGCCGAGGCATCGCCCGAGGGAGCCCGACGCTGCCCCGAAGGGGGTCGCGGGGATCTTCTAACCCGGGTCCATCCAGACCCGGGTCAGCAGGAAACCAAAAACTGCCATGCAGGGAAAAAAACAGCAACGCAGGTCTTCGCAAACCCGGGTCAGCCAATAGGCGCGGCCGCCTCGCGGCCACGAGCGGCTCGCTAACCCGGGTCAGCCAGAGGGGGTCTTCGCAGCAGGATCCAGCGCCCTGGTTGACCCCCGTTTGCACTGACCCCCGTCTTAAGGCTCCCGGGGGGCCCGCCCTGGAGAACGCCGGCAGGGCCCGAGGCCTCCAGGCCTACGCCAAATCCCTTCTTCATCGACCCCCCTAGAGAACTGGACCCCCTCCAAAAGTGACCTGCTATTCCAGACCCCACCCCCTTTCGACGGGGCGCCTGAATAAGCCGGACCCCCTAAGCTCCAATCCAAAGAAAGCGCCCTAATCAACCGGACCCCCCCAATTACAAAAAAGGCGCCTCAAAAAACCGGACCTGGGGGACGATGAATCAAGGATTTGGGGCAGATGGATCAGAGGTCGGGGCCCCGAGTGCAATGCATACTGCGAAATGCATCGTGGAGCGATCACCGAATCACGCGCGCGCTGCGTCCACAGGCGGCGTCATCGTGCACTGCACCCGACCAGGTAAGTGACCCTACCGCCCCTCCGCGCG